TGGAGGGGTTTAAACCCCCCCCCCCACCTCAGCATGCCAGTTTAGGCTGGCATCTGGCCATGTCCTCCACTCTCCGCTCAAGGGGAGAGTGGAGAAAAGCCTGTGAGGGGCTGCTCTAACCCTGCCAAGCAGACCCTGACTCAGGACTGGAGCCAGGTTTCTCCACACACGCCCCCTTTTCAGCCAGCCAGAGCAGTGGAGCAGGGCCAACCCTGCTCCATGGGAACAGACAGCAGAGCCCAGGACTGCAAATCATCCCAGGATGCTGGGGGAATGTGAGTTAACTTGAACTGGGAAGGGGGTCTGGGACAGAAGTTCCATAAACCAGGTTGACCTAAGTCAGTTCAGTCTGATACTACACCAGCCAGGTTTAAACCTGTTTCAGTCATTTTAAAAGTGGTTTAAGCACACTGAACTTCTGTTGTGACATATTTTAACCAGTTTCTGATCACTTAAACCAATTTGTGTGTAAATTCTGTCCCTAGACTTAAAGGGCGCATCCAGATGACCTCAGACATTTGCCTCCCTGGAGACAAGCAGCAACATAACAAGGTTACACAGAAGTTACACATAAAAAGGCTAGGCACAGATGTTATACCTTGTGCTGCTGCTACTTGTCCCCAGGGAATGCCCATGCCATGCATGCTCCAGCATGCAGCAGGTTACCCCAGGTGGGGTAAGAGAGGCTGGGGTCAGCACCGGTCTGGCCCCAGCAGCCTTAACTGGGCCTTGGGGGCCTCCTGGGGCTGCAATAGAAATGATCCTGACACTTAGAGCCTGGCCAGCAGCTGAAGTACGACTCCAGCCAGCCAGGCTCTGGTTTTGGACAGTGCATGCTGCTGCTACTTGTGCCCCCCAACCCCCTGTGCTGCAAAGTAGCAGTATGAGGAATGCCTGCATGTGCAGTGTGTGGCGCCATAGACATGCCACATATTGTACATCTGAACTCCTCTCAATGAGGCCAAAAAGCTACGAAGAAGGTGAGGGGAGGGGAGAACCCTATTTCTGCATATTCTTGCATTTCCTGGCTTTGAAGAAAAATCTTTAAAAAATACTTTATTTTATAACATATTTGTAAATTACAAGGCTGAAGTCAAGCTCAGAAACTATCATCAAGCTTGGAATTTCCTCCATACACAGGACAATCTTGTATTTTCCCTTTTGCACTCTAGTCCTTCACCATTTCAGGAATGTGCATGTAATCTGACAGCATGTTTTCAACAGATGTTCAAATGAATAGTATAGCAGGATGAATCACATAATACATCTGGATGCAGCTGAGAAAGGGCATTTCCTAAATGTAATCAATTCATTGATCAGCATGAAACAGCTCTGTTAATACTTCCAGAAATACATCGCTAGTGCTAACAAGTACTGAAAAAATGTCTGATGCATTAATATTCTTTTTCTAAGATAATATTTTGCAGATGTGTCCCTAGGGTCCTTATCTATAAACAAATATACTATGCTTCTATAAAGAACAAAGTACCAAAAGCAGAAAATGCAAAGTTCATCTGTCAAGAAGATTGAGAGGTGATTTGATTATAGTATCCAAAAGGGAGAAAATACTGGTCTCTTCCAAAGGACCCTTTAATCTTGTAGGGAA